TCTTCCCCTGCCATTTGATCCAACTCACCACCAGGTGGTGATCAGTTGACAGCTCCGCTCCTCTCTTCTCTCGGGTGTCCAAAACATACGACCGCAGGTCAGATGATACGGCTACAAAGTCTATCATCGACTTGTGACCTAGGCTGCCCTGGTACCAAGGGTACCGATGGGCATCCTTATGTTCGAACATGGTGTTTGTTATGGCCAAACTGCATCTCTCACAGAAGTCCAATAACGAAACACCACTCGAGTTCAGATCAGGTGGGTCGTTCCTCCCAATCACACCCCTCCAGGTCGTGCTGTCATTGCCCACTTGAGCATTGAAGTCCCCCAGCCGGACAGTGGAGACCCCTGATGGAGCACTATCTAGCACTCGTCCCAGGGACTCCAAAAAGGGAGGGTACTCTGAACTGATATTTGGCCCATAAGCACAAACAACAGTCAGGACCCGTTCCCCGACCCGAAGGCGCAAGGAAGCTACCCTCTTGTCCCCCGGGGTAAACCCCAACACACAGGCAGAGAGTCTCGGGGCTAACAAAAAGCCAACCCCAGCCCTCTGCCTCTCACCCAGAGCAACTCCAGCAAAGGAGAGTGACCAACCCTTCTCAAGGACTTGGGTTCCAGAGCCAATGCTATGTGTCGAGGTGAGTCCGACTAAATCTAGCCGGTACCGCTCAACCTCTGCCACAAGCTCCTGCTCCTTCCCCACCAGAGAAGTGATGTTCCATGTCCCAAAAACCAGTTTCCTTGTCCAGGGATTGGACCGCCAATGCTCCCGCCTCGGTCTACCACCTGATCCACACTGCACCGGACCCTTCATGTTCCTCCTGCGGGTGGTGGGTCCACATTTGGATGAGCCCATGTATACGGTTCGGGCTGGACCCAGCCGGGCCCCATGGGCGAAAGCCCGGCCACCAGGCGCTCGCTCACGGGCCTCATCCCCAGGTCTGACTTCAGGGTGGGACCCCGGTAACCCTCCGGGCCGGGTACTCTGACTCTTTGATTGTAAATCCATGAAAGATCCTCTGAACCGTTCTTTGTCTCACCCTTCACCTATGACCAATTTGTCATGGGAGACCCAACCAGGGGCACAAAGTGCCCCACACAACATAGCTCCTAGGATCATTAGGGCACTCAAAGTCCTCCACCACGATGGTTCAAGGAGGAGAGCATTGGTAATAAGCACCTAATAATATCTTACTAATGACTAATTCAGAGTTAGTAGTCCACTAATATGCATATTAATTGGCAGCTAATTAATGGTTAATTTGTGTTCCCTAAACTAAAGTGTTACTGCAGATTCTTTCAACCCAAAACAAGGAATTTCATTAGCAACACAGCTAACAGCCGTAAAGCAGGTAAAGAGCACCCTCCAGAGCACCTACCTGCTCCATAAAACTATCTAGTGCAGTTTTTGTTCAGCAGAGGGCTGCAGAGGCGTGTCAAAAAGGATACTGGTCAAGTTTCTAACTCAACAATCACAGGGATCAATGTTAAAGCTCTAGTTTAAAAACTATCTAGTGTCACTTTAACTACATTTACCTTATTTTAAGCTGTGCTTTTTTTGCAGATACATTTTTCTTTTAGACTAAAATAAGATAAAATATCTAAAAACTAGTTTTTGGAGTATATTTAAGGTTTGGTTAAAGATGAGCCAGTAATTATTACTGGATTCCTTAAAACAGAAATACTTTAGCTAAATATCATGTCTTTTGTGTCGTGATGCATTATTTCTGCTTGCTGTAGAATCCCCCTTTCCCTCCTGTACTGCATTTGTGTACTACTATGTGATTGTTTGACCCATTTAAAGACGCTCCAGTCATGCATGTGATAAGTACAGGGAGACACTCAGTTTTATAGCCCTATTATCCTAACTCTGATAATATGAGCAAACTATTAGTTCCACCAGTCGTGACATTAATGCCCAAATGAGCAATAATCAACCCAGACACTAAACCAGATGCACGAGCAGCCACGGCTATAAGAAGAATTAATAGTAGAACACTGCGTTTATGCATGTGTGTGTGTCTGTGTGTACTTACAAGAGTAGTAGATATTGGTGATGAAAGGGTGATTTTTAAAACAGTCTATTATTTTCTCACTCCTCTCAGTGTTGAGTTTGAGCGTCTTAGGTTTTCTGCTGCTCTGCACAAACGAGACATCTGTGAGTTTTTTTAGTTGTCTCACATGAGATGCAAGGCCTCACATTTATAGATATGGAATTCTGAACATTAAAGTAAAAATAGATGTTTTTTAAACTCGAGGCTAAAGCTTTAGCATTGATCTCATTGATTGTTGAGTTGGAAACCTGACCAGTTTCATATTTGACACCCCTCTGCAGCCCTCTGCTGACCAAAACCACACTTAATAGTTTTGTTGAGTGGGTAGGTGCCCTATAGGGGGAGCTCTTTATCCACTTCACAGCTGTTAGCTGTTATGCTAGCTGTTAGCATTTTCAGTTTGCCAGTAAAATGCACAAGAAGAAGATGTTTGCTCTTTTGACATCATGGAGGAACTGGGAAGTAAAATTAAGAGAGTAATGTCTTTGGAGCTAAAACCAGAGTGGACATCGGCACAGCCTACGCTAGCTTGAGGGAGCTAAAGGAGGCTACAAAATTACAGAGTGATGGTGACCTGGCTTTGTTGCTGCTGTCAGGACACTGCAGTTAACAGTTTTATGGCACAGGTAGGTGACCTATAGGGGGAGCTCTTTACCTGATTTAAAACTTCTACCTGTTATGCTATGTTTATATTTATTTATTTGACAAACACTTTTATCCAAAGCAATGTACAATTGTGAATCTATAGGGCATGTTGGGATCTGTGGGAGAAACCGGCGTACCCGGAGGAAACCCACTCATGCATGGGGAGAACACGCAACTCCACGCAGAAAGACCATAGCCGAGTTTCGAACCTTCATCCTTCTTGCTGCGAGGCAACAGTGCTAACAACTGCGCCACCATGCAGCTGAGTAGTTAGCATTTTCAATTTGCCAATTGTCAGTATAAAGCACAAGAAAAAGAAAAAGAAGTTTGCTTTTATGTTGGCATCATGGTGGAGCCTGGAAGTAAAAATAAGAGAGTAAAGTCTCTGTTAGTGAAGCAAAGAGCTAAAACCAGAGTGAACATTAGCGCGGCCTACGCTAGTTTGACGGGGCTAAAGGAGGCTACAAAGTCACGCACTGATGGTGACCTGGCCTTGTTGCTACTGGATTTGTAAGTAATAATACTTTTGTCCAAAAGTGGGGATCTTTTTACTTTGTGGTTTATTTTAGTATTAGTTGGCTCATATTAGTGTTAGCTTGTTGTTAGTGCTAGCTACAGCAGTCTGCAGCAGGGGGGAGGAGCAAGAAATTCACTTGAAACATCCAGGTATTTTTATCTTTTATAACAAGTGATTATTACACATATAAATAAAGCTGAAATCCTACAACAGCAGCACTAGAAGGTGATGAACTCAAACCTGGAAGTATTTTACTCGTAGTTCTAATTTGACAGTCACTGCTTGACTGTCAGGCTATCAAAGGGAACTGAAGAGTAAATCTGTTTTAAATGGCTAAAGCAGGTCAGAATACAAACAAACAGCAAGGATTAAATGTTAATTAGGACGTTATCGCCTAATGAAATCAGCAGCTTTTTCATGTTAAATTGTTAGCAAACATTTAGTTTATCACTGAGTGGAAATAAGCAGAATTTCTGTTTAGGGAATTGCTTTTTAAAGAACCAAATAACTTTCCAAACTCAAAAATCCCTGAATGTCATGAGAGTTTATACTCTAAATTTTACTGTAAAAAAATAAAGCATGTGTTTTTACTGTATTAATGTAGTCAGTCCTCCTCCTTCTGTCTTTAGTCACTGGTTTTATCACCAGCTTCACCTTAAAGACTAAGTTCACTTGTGATTCCAACACATTAGCAATGGTCTCTGGTATAAATGAATGCCTTGTGGCTTGTTCTCTGTGGAAAAAACCTCTGACGCTCCTTTTTCAGGAGGCAGAAATGAGTCAGAGGAGAGTTGAGCTTCAAGCGACAAAAATAAGTAACACAAGCCTGGAGGAGTTCTGCTGTGTGGTGGAGTTGCTAATGCTACTGGTTAGCTTCTACTAGCTGAGACGTTCTCGGCTGTTTTCTGGACTCTACACCAACAACAGCCTTCGCCGTCGTGAGTCAAGATGGGTGAATCCATGAATGTTAGTGACAGTGTGACGTAGATCTGTCAGGCTTTCTAATCCTAGAGTTTCAGCGTCTGTTTTCTATCAGAAGCTAAAGCAGAAGATAGATGTAGGAGACTATTTTCATATTCAGCCTGCATGAAACACTCAGTGACCGATCATATTCTAAAATATTAAGTAAAAAATGTTTCTCAGTGAACTTGGTCTTTAAAGCAGGATGCAGAGTCACACACTCTCTGTCTTCTTGGCTTGATTGTTGTTTTTCGATTCAGTGGTGATCTCGTTTTAATATTATCACTAATTTATTTCCCTGAATGCACACAGCTTAGCTCAGCAGATCTCAACCATCTTCTTTTTACATTCAATGTCCCCATTACCCTGAGCTCTATGCAGACCTCACAGTTCCCTTAATTAAACATTTCTGTTTAATAAAATTTTATTACATGTCAGCTTGAATTTGGTTCTATTTAAATGTCTTCATTTCGCTCGTCATTGTAGAAATATTTAATTACATTCCACCTACCAGATAGATAGATAGGCTTATCTATGCATAAGGCAGCTAGATGTTTTAAATTAACAGTGCATGTGAACAAAATGTAAAATAATACAAGGGTCATTAAATTTAGACTAAGGAGGCCAGTATTAGATGCACAAATTAGTACCTTAGCATGAATGAGTGAACATATTATTCTCATAAACAAGTTAAAATTAAAGTATTCACTTGAGTAACTTTTGTAGTTGAGCAGGCGGCGGCGTCTTTCACTTTCTGCACCTTGACAAGACTTTTAGTTTCATCATAGAGAAAAACAACCCTACACATAAATCAAGCCATGCTCTTCTTTCTGATGTCTGAGCATGACTCGGCTGCTTTGGTGGGGTTTTTATCTGCCGGTGAGCAGGGAGTTTGAACACATCCTAACGACTGACAGGCTAGCAGCGGTTCATGCAAATCAGACGTTGATACCGGAGTTGAACCCTAGAATCTGTCCAACTGCATTTGCGTCTGTGCTGCTTGGAGTGAATTACATCAGTTCCTGTGTGCTTGTGAGCAAGTGATCCAAAATGTGGACGTTTATTTCAGTTGTTAAATTCATGCTAAAAAAAGGTCCGAGCCATTTAAGATGTCTGCTTTCTGTGGGGAAGATGTGGAATTGGAGCCAGAGGAAAAAAATCACAAAGAAGGTTAAAATTTTGATCAGTTTTATAAGCTTTAATGTGGCAAAGCTGAAGTTTTGACTGAAGTACAACCAGAGCAAATTCTATGGTCTCCTCTACGATCTGAGGGTTTTCTTCTTCAGGTGGAAAAAAGGACTAAACACGATACAAACGTAGCACTACCAGCTGCTTTCTCTTTTCCTAAAATCATCATTTATCTTTAAATGTCATTTATATAAAAGTAAATGTTTTCTGATTATAAAGATGTTTAATTCATAAAAACCTGAAATTCATCGAAACCTGTTTTATGATTTAATTGGAAAACCCAGGTCGGACACTTCCAAGGCTTTTCCAGTGTTATTCCGAGATTTCGTTGTTTCGTTAGCATTGTTACGGCTACCAGCCTGGCCAGTGAGATTCAGGAGCCAGGATCACCCAGCCCCGGTGATCAGCCTGACACCGCCCTTCCTCCTCCTCTCTTCCAGGCTGCTGAGGAGCACAGCTGAGCTGAATCCTGTTGATGACCCACACCTGGGATAAAAAGGCTGTGCCTTCAGCAGTCTGGGAGGCAGCAGTGCAGGGGTTCGGCTGTCCTCCAGGCCTCTGTCTGATTTTCAACCCCTTCGAAGAGTTTTAACTTTGGTAATTTTAACTCTGAGTGATCCCAATTGGTCTTTGTTTGTAAAGGTGAACTTGGTTTGCTGCAATTTTATTGACTCTGGATTTAAACACCATCTGTGTTGGTAAAACTTTTACAATAGGTTTTTAGCAGGTGTTTTAAGTCAGTAGATTGCTTTAGACTTTTACCAACTTCTGGATTTTAAAAACACCTTCTGTTTGGTGAAACTTTTAATAAGTTTTAACCAGGTGTTTTTATAGTTGGTAATTGGTTTAATGTTAACCTTTTTGATGAGGCAGCAGTGCAGGGGTTTTGCTGTCCTCCAGGCCTCAGTTTTGTTTTCAACCCCTTCGTTTTGATGAGTTTTTACTTTTATAGTTTAAACTCTGAGTGATCCAGAGGGATTGTTTTAAGGTTAACATCGTAGTTTATCGACTTTGGGATTTAAAAACACTGTGTTTTCGTAGTACGTTAAAGCACCTTCTGTTTCGGTAAAACTTTTAACAAAGTTTTAACCAGGTGTTATAATGTTGATGTTTCGTACTGTAAATGTTAACCTTTTAGTCTTGGTTTTGTTTGTTTTGCATTATTTTAATAATGCTTGCATCTGTTTACACTTGTTTTTAGAACCTTTTATAACAATTAAACCCATTTTAACTCCACTGTCTTATTTCTTATGTTACCCCCTCCTTCACATTTTAACAACACATGTCGGGGACGTAACAAGCATGTAGGCGGTGCTTTGTTAGCATGTAGGCGGTAAAAGGTATTCTTAGAGCTCGTTGTTTTGTTAGCATGAAGGCGGTAAAAGGTATCTGAATTTTCAATAAAATATTGATTTAGTATCACAACACGAAAAATCACGATGTTTGAGTATTTGTATTTCCTTTAATTTCTAGAGCCTTATTTTAAAAAGGAATATCTTTATTTTATCATTATTTAGTTTTGTCACACATGTTCTAGCTTGGGTGAGTTTATTTGTTCAGGCAAGGTAAGGAAATGAACTCAACCTTTTGACCTTTTCGCTATTCATTCCCTTAATTCACCTCGGTACGTGCACTCTGGCCATGAAAACTTTCATGTCATTGGCAGCATTCACAACAGCTCCTTTATATAAGTAATGGTGACTTAATGTGGTGGAAGTTGTAACCTTGAGAGTCGTGTGGTGTGTATAAACTGACAGGAAGCCAACAGCTCGGCTAGGGGGCAAAGGAATAAATGTCTGTGTATGCAGTAGATAAACTGGTAAATGACAGTGTGTGGAAGATGTCTGCACTAACAAAAACACTCCAGTGAACCAGTTGGAGGAGTGGGTCCCCACTGGATGTTAATGAGGGGTTATAAACCCACAAAAGTCTTCCTCTCCCACAGTCCAGGGTCAAGAGGGCCACAGTCTCAAACCGATGAATTAAACATCAGTCTATCCATCTGGCAGGTATAAATATTTCTCCACCGCTCCGACTCGAGGAGTTCGACATAAGGCCAGAGTCCTTTTCCAAAAGTCCCTGACACAATTTGACACAGGGTTAAGATGATGATTGTGTGTGTAATGGATACATGGCTGAACCCAGCTGTGGAGTTGGTGTCCTATATTTAGCCTGAGAAATGATGGTGTGTGTGTGTGTGTGTGTGTGTGTGTGTGTGTGTGTGTGTGTGTGTGTGTGTGTGTGTGTGTGTGTATATACTCGTCTATACATCAAAGTGAGGACCAATGACAGCTTTTTTACCAGCAAACCGAGAACATCAGTAAAGTGAGAACATATTGCTGGTCCCCACTTTGGTACAATGTTACAGAGTTCTGCTGGTTAGTTTTAGAGGTACGATGTGAATTAGGTTTTAGTTAAGGTTAGGGTTAGGAGTAGACTGGTTATGGTTGGGGTTGGGTATGGGTTAGGCATAATACAGTAACAAAAATGAATGGAAGTCGATTGATGGTCCTCACTATGATAGAAAGACAGACGTGTGTATGTGTGTGTGCATGCGTATGTGTGTGTTGGGGCGGTGTCTCAGTACTGATAACTAACCTGCACAGCTACACTGGATCAGTGTCTCTGGCATAGGCTTTGGCTTTGGCTTGGGCGGTATCCACGTTTTGCCACGGTGTACGGTTTTAGCGGGACTAATTTAAAAATGATGATGAAAGCCTCAAGAGGCACTATATAAAAGATTTTCTTCTTGCTTGCGTAACCAATTGCAGGATACAGTATTTAAAGAAAAAAAAGAAGCAAATGGGCCATAGTTAGGTTCAAAAAGAATTGGTGAGTTGTTTTAAGAATGACTGGAATCACAGGTTTGGTACAAACAGTATGTATATCAACAATCTAACCCTTATATAACCCTTTAATTTTCTAACGTTTTTGTCCGTTGAGCACAAAGAAAATGCAATAAGGTCGTATAAGGGTTAATCCAGCTTTTGAACAGAACCACACTTTAATCCAACACAAAAATGAAATATTAGTGACAAATTGTTAACAGTCAGTTTGAGCTCAATGTTGTAAAGGTGCCGGCTTAAAAGTCAAAGTTCACCCAGTCAATTCAAAAGTCAAGTGTCCAATTAGTGCAATTTTGCCCAACTGCACTGTCGAGATTGTTCCAAAAAGAAGAGCAACCTGCTCTTCAGGCCCACTTGGGATGGTTTTGGTTCTATCAATAGGCAAAGCTCACCATCTTCCTCGTCAGAAAGAGATCCAATTTCTCGATCCACCAAAAAAGCCTGTAAATAACAGGACTATTAAAAATTACAGATGACTCTATATAAACATCCACGTATACGGCCCTGAACAGATTAGGTAGATGACTTAACTTATAGCCCAACCAATCATATTTAGTTCCCACAGTTTCACAGTACAATTAAAGCATCACATCAATTGTTTGGATTTTTTTCTTCTTCTTCATCACTGGGTTATCAAGAGTTCGTGTCTTTTTTTAAGTTGCTCTGAGCACACCATTGAACATGGCAAATCTTTTTTTTTCAACACAATCAATGTAGTTACAGTGTTATTACGTTACACTGTCTAACATGGAGCAATGTATTCATCATAAACAAGGATATATTCAAATGTTATTTCAACACATCTTAAATACCCTTTTTTCTGTGGTAAAACTAACAAGAAATCTAATAAAACTCAAAATATTGTCTGTAGCAAAACAAATAAAAACATAAACAAAAATACATAATAGCTCCATAAATGTCTGTTTTTCTGGTTTCATATTAGACCTCATATAACACCATAAAGTCATCTAATAACATAGAATGTTCCCTCAGTGTCAAGCTTCACAACCACACACATTTTTAACTCTTTTTTTCTATACATATTTAAAATAATACATTTTATTTTCTTTCTCCCGCTTTTGTAATGCATTGATTGTTAGCCATGTAATTCTAAGCCGCACCGCATCTAAGCTGGTGGCTCAGAGCAATTTAGCCCCTGGGAAACCCCATATATCATGCACAGCTAAAATGTGGTCATCTCTATGGCTACCATTAACATTCCTCTTTAGCTCCTATTTAATCTAGTCTCGGTTCAACTCACGTTCCAACGTTCCTCTCTCAAGAGATTTGGTTCACTCCAGCTGTACCCATGCAAATCTATAAGAATTACATTAATAAAGCTGCATGAGTTTTTCCTATCAGCTGTTAGCATCTTTAGCTAGCCCACTTTTAACTCTTTCCTCTTACTCACCACATCGATTCCAAGGCTCAAACTGTTCACCCGGAGAGCGAGTCTGTGTGTCTAACGCCTATGGAGTCTCCGGCGTGGGATTTTCCCAGTTTTGAAGTTTATTTCTCCTTTATCAACTCACAAGCAGTGGCGGTTTTACCATTAGGCATAGGTCGGCAGCAGCCTGGGGCCCCCTTGTGTTGGGGGGCCCCCTAGCCCTGACCGCCGGCACTCCTCTGTTTATGCCACAATATTCTTATTACCAACCTGTGGCCGCAGATGGGATTGGACATGCGCAATTCTCATCCCCATAATTCCTGAACCGTTCAAGATATCATTAAAATTCCAAAAGTGCTGAAAAGATTAAAAATCGGGCTTTTCGTATATATACAATACATTACGGTAGCCATCGGGATTCCCTGTCTTGAGCGCAACTAATCACAACAAAGATTCAGAGACGTGCTGAGTTTGTCATCCAAAATGTTCCGTTTTATAACTTTTGAATGGCTGATCAGATCCAAAAAATTCCAGCGGTTCCTAAAAGTACATAAAAGCAGCTTTCCAACGACCTATAGCACGAAGCAATCAGAGTTAGGGAAAATATCGCTACGAGGGGAAATCCTGCTGTACAGCCTGATTGAAACGGAGCGCAGCGCCGCGGTGAAAGCGGATAACGGAACGGGGAAGCTAATGAGCATAAAAACCAGCATGAAATTATGGAAATGCCTCAAAGAAAATCAACACGATCTGTTAGGTGTCCCAGAAGGCTTATATCTGAAGACAGTGACCACGAAGAAGGACAGATCTCCAGTGAACCAGGGTATGAATGTTTGTTCAGTCTTTATATTTTATTTTTTTATTTGAACAACCCTCAGTGATTTGCTAATTGTAAGATTCAGCTTCATTCCAGCATTATTTAACTTTTTACCATAAATAATTATTTTTGCTTAAACAAAAGTTGTTGGTATAGCAGTGCACGGTGTGCCAGAGAAGCACCCCATGGCAGTGTGAGGTGTGCTCTGCCTGCAGCTGGAGAGAAACTGCTTCAAGGTCTACCACATCAAGTAAAAACGTCTGAAAGTTTATAAAAATAAATGGTCTTAAAAACTGCTACAAGACACCAAGGTTCACGCTTTTTTAAGAATAGATGTAATACAGTTCAAAGTTTAAATTGTTTGCCCAGTAATTTTGAAGTTCCTGTTCAGTAATAAATGCAAAAAAAAATTCAAATCCGTTTTTTTGCTTTTTTTCACTTTTAAGCTGATTTTTTAAAGGGTGTAATAGAAATACATTCTAAATACAAACCATATACTGAAAGTTGAGGTTGTTCTGAAAAAAGGAGAGAGTCACGCACATGTTGCACTTTTTATTAGCATTTAACAGCCATAAAATAAAAAAAAATACCAGACGGCCCTGTTCTAATTATGGTCATAAGAGGGTTATTAAGACAGCGATGCACAAACAGGAAGTGATTCCACTCCAATCCAGTTGGTGGCAGTAATGCGACTAATTGCTGTTTGCCAAGTGCCATTAGACCACAAAGAAGAATAAGAAGAGAGGCAGGGGCGTTTGTAACAAACTCAAAGCGATAGTCAAACCATTAAGCATGAAACTGAGTTATCCTCGTGGCTCCAGTAAGAGAAAGAAGAAGCATGCTTCATAAAAGCTTTTATTTTCACTTCTGAAAGTGACGTCATTTTTATTTTTTTTATTTGTTTTTTTACCGTGTCCTGTCTGGCTGTGAAGCAAGCAGAATTGATGTCTGAATGCTGGTGACAAGCCTTACAGATTTACTCTCAGGTAGAGCATCAAAGCGTCTGCTTTTAATGTCACGCATGATACTTAAAACTTTATTGTTATTGTTTTTGAATGCTTTGTAATTCCGACCAGACACGGAGACAGAGGTGAAAGAGAAAGGAAAAGAAAAGGTGGGGAGGGGGTGGGGGAGGGGGGGGGGGGGGGTCCACAAAAATAAACAATAATGAACAAGAGTCTGCTTCTAGACCTGCAGAAAAAAGACAAAAAAAAGCAAAAGGGCAATACAACAAGATCTAGCTATCACTGCGTCAACTTGATGAGGAAATATATAACCAACATTGCTTAACTGAAGAATCACGATAATAAATCACAGTGCATTAAGTGCCCACCATAGTCTTAAGACCTGTGTTTAACGTGCCCAAACCCATACTTTTGAGAGCACCATGTGAGCACCTGTGTGTACACGCGCTTGTTTATGTAAGGTTTCTCTATAGGAGCGTCCAACAGAGAGTGTGAGGGACCACAGATTCGCCACCCAATGATGCGCAGAAGACGGGGGGAGCTCCAAGTCCCAGAGATCCAGGCGCTGCCCCAGAACACAGGAACCCCAAGGAGACTGCAACCAGAAAGGCCCCCGCCCCCCTCGAGAGGCACAGAGGATCGCCCCGGGGGGCCACAACCGACACAGCCGGCAGAGTCCCGGGAGACATCATCGGCAAGCCCTCAGGCCCGCCCGCAGCCTCCCACCCCCTAGCCGGCCGAGCCCGGGACCCAGCGACCCGGGACCCAGGGGCTACCACCCCCACCGGGGACCCAGCAGAGCCCAGGGATCCAGACCCCACCAGGCAGCCAGCAGGATCTATCAGGCAGATGCCAAAATCTTAAACCCCCAGACCTGGTTGCCACGAACACTCAGGCAGACCAAGGCACAACCCCTCACACCAGGTGTGGCAGGGGGAGGGGGGACGAAGATCTATATCATCAAAAGAAGTTCCAGGAGAGGGGAGGAGTCAAAGGCCCCACCTGACATATACAGTCATACACAAACAGAGTCCCACACTCCCTCCCTCATGCTCACACTGTTAGAAATTACCAGCATTTCACATTAATTTAAAGTAATATTTTACAGTAATTTATTGTAATTAAGTTTCCCTGTAATAACCCATTGAATTAATGTAAAAATAAAATATCCTTGGATTTTACAGCATTTAACTCCTATTTTACAGTATAATCTTGCCATGTAAAACCATCTGTAATATTACAACCAGGAATTTTATTTTCACAGCAAAACTGTAAAAAGTGCACTGATTTCACACCATCAAACTGTAACATTACAGTAAAATATTGACTTGGAAGTCACGTGACACAGGCAGCCTATATACTGCCAGAACAATGAATGACGGATGTAACATATAATGTTCATGAAATTTAAAGACATAAAAGTTCAAAGATGAGCTGATTTTTGTTAGGTGGTAAAAGTTATTTTACATTTTGTAGTGGACTACAACTCTTGAGTTGCCTTTTCTGGACAAATGTTGGAGCATTAAACGTTCCAGAAAATTATTGCTTTTTTCCGTCCGGCGGATCCACGGGCAGACTGGAAGGGGAGGAGACTTCCTCTAACCGAACTACTAATTTGAACTGAAGGCGCGAAATCCCTCTTTCCCTTTCTCCGCCGGTGAAGAAGGTGAGCAACTTTGTTTTTACAATGATATTTACTTTTTGTTGAACGTTTATTGCATGCCGCAGATCATATATATTGTCTTTAAAAATGTTGCATCGAAGGCTGCATGTGGAAGTTGGTCTACCAGCTCAGGAACGTTTTTTAAGGGGGGGGGGGGGGGGGGAGGCGCGGCTATCTATTGTTGATGGAAACAATGGGGGGTTGACAAATGAAACATGATGTGCCGTGAGGCAAAGCGATGTCAGACCCATGATTTACCGCAGAGCGGAGCGGGTGCAGCTTGGAGCACTTCTGACGTGTTGCGCTCCACTTTTGTATGCAAAAACGCTCAAAGATATTGCCAATTAATGCTGCGTTCACACTGGCCATAACGTATACGTCAAACAGCGCGCTTGAAGCCCTATATTTTTTTTACTTTGGCCCTTGTAACGTCTGCCGTAACCGTTGGCTGCTGCCTCAGGAACCCCCCCTGCTGCAGGGGGGAAAGAGCGCGGGAGGGGCTCTCTAAACTTATCCAACACGCAGAGTTCTTCACCAATCTTTTTCCAAACGAAGTCCTAGTTATGCCGATCTGTTTAGGCATGACAGGAGGGGCCATACGGTTCGCTGTGATTGAATACGACGATAAGTTTATGCTCTATGGCTGAAATTCTTAAATGCTTGTTTTTTTTTTCATGGAATCTGGCTCGTAGTAGTGATATGACAACAACAGGCGCTCTGATTGGTTGCTGCTTGTAAAGCGACGCAGCTGAACGTTGAAGCTTGAAAAGTATCAAGCTTTGACGGAGCCAACGCTGTTGAATCTCATTGCAGAAAAATAATTAATTGCTGTGCATTCATTTTGCACATGTATAAGATATGTATAAGATACAGATAATTAATATGGTTAACAGATACAGATAATGCTGTACTCACTCATCCTTAGAAATCTCTGTCAGGGTGTGAACTTTGACTGTACTCATTATCTTATTTCATTTGATTGCAAGTATAACCAATGTACTGTCATTTTTGCACACTATAATTAATAATCCAGCTGTCATATCTGCACAATGAATGACTAATATATTATGCACATCAGACTCACTTTGATTATTACTGACTCACCTCGTTTAATCATAACTGAATAATCCCTCTGTTATTTTACACAGATTGGTGTATTTGTGTTTGTAACTACCGACTTCGAGATCACTGCTGCTATTTCCACTATTTATCATCCACATTTTCACTGTTGCCGCCACATTCATCTGGAATTCTCAACCTATTTAGATACTACTCCCAGATATACCCGAGTGCTTTCTTTTCTTAAATACTTGTTTTATTGTTCTTTAACTGCTTCTGCTACTCAACTGCTCATACTTTCATACACAAATTTCCTAACTGTGGGACAATGAAGGAATACTTATCTAATCCTTGGCTATGGTTTCCTCTTGCTCTGCAGTCCATTCAAGATATGTGTGATAAAGTAACTACAGAGTGAAAGGCACTCTGATTAGTTGGCGCCTGTTGTCCAGCCCTCCAAGCACGCCACACGCCTCACAGCCAGGGGTACCATGGCATGTTGACTTTCATCTCAACTTGGACCAGATGTCATCAGCTGTTCGACGTAGAGTGGAAAAACAACAAAGACCATTACCAGACGAAAGAAGGGCCTTTGTGGTTGCGCTTGTGGACCAAATGATGCAGCACGACCAAAACCCATCCAGAGCCATGTGCTACAACGTTGTGAGAAACATTGTCAGGTAAGGATGGGATGATCAGGGAAAGAATTAGCACCTTCTGAAAATTTTAAATGTAAATTGGAAGGAATACATTGTTTTTTTTTTCTTACTTGAAATATCAAGTGTGCTAAAGCGCATGGCAGGATACACGAAGGTTAAACTTGGTTCTTCAAGTACATGAGTTGTAAATGTCTGTTGTGTAACAATAGTGCAATATTTTCTACTTGACTACTTACTTTCTAATTGTCTATTAATCCCACACATTTTTAGGAGACATCCAAAGTCATTTGCTGACATTGGAAAGTATGGTGATACTACAGGAGATGGCTGCTATTCTCTACTACAGCAAGTGAAAACAAGAGTGGAGTACCACAACAGAACCAAAACTCTTCTTCGACACCGCAGAAAACGCTTCACAGGAATCGCAGGAGAGATCAGACAAGAGAGAGGTCCTGTTGACCAGTACGGGTATGTGGCAATATACATGTAATATCTGTTAACATTTTATCAAAAGCATTGTATATGACCATGAATAAGCCAGAAACGGAACAAAACAAATTTTATTGACATTAACTTAGACCTTTTTCCAGCAAGCATGAGCCAATTTTAAAAGTGTTGTAAAGACCGCTAACCCAGCAGCAGCTAAATGTATGTGTTGCCCCACCCCGTGTCGAGTTTCCACGTTTTGATCTGGAACCTCTGCTGCAAACAGCGTTGGGAAGGAGGGGGGGCCATCTGGTAGGAAACATTGAGCGGATTGGAGGACCCCTCGAATGTCCATCTACTTGCTACAATGGTTTGTCTTTAGCCAATCACAGCTAAGTGGTTCCTTTGACTCATTTTTAGAAGAGCGTGACTTAGGCCACCCGTGCCTACAAGGTGGAAGCTCCAATTCTGTTGGCAAAAAAATTTGGCGGTCAGTAGGAATGTTCAAATAGCAGGAAGGAGGAACTAGGAAGAATAACGAATGTTGTGGGGTAGAAAAAAACTATCATAATTTTGAAGAGAAATATCTTTTGAAAGATTTAGGTATCTTTAATATATACACAAACACTGTGGACTGCAGCTTTATTTGGATAAACAACATCAGTGTTTACAACACTTCTACACTGTAACATAACTTCTGTGACATAAGTCTGTTAATGCAGTCACAACTGGGAGTCAAACGGACCCTTTAGTCATTGCTCCAACTTCTGGGCTATAACTGTCCCTAATAGTAGTGTTACCCTGTGATTCCCCTTCTTAGGTGTGTCAGGTGGGGCCCAGTGGATTTCCCAGAGGGGGAGACCGAGGCATCGTTGATGAAGATGAAGAGGGATCTACTGAACATCTACTCAGGCAGGCTTTCTACTGTTGTTTTGGGTTATTTTGTTTGGAGTTTTTTCATTGGTCAAGATCTAAAAACTGTGTGTTCGGCAGCTAACAAGACCAAATTGTTACTTTGGTACTAACAATACATTTTTATTGTCTGTATACACAGAGGAAGGAATGAAAGGGGCGGAGAGAGCAGAACCAATGATGGAAAAGACATATGTCATCCTCCGGCAATACCTTAACAAAATGCCTGCTGCAGCAATGTCTGACATCAAAGAGGAGTGGCCCTTTCTCTTCTCTCAGAAAAGCCTATTGTCACATTTTGCTCTTTTGACGGACATCAACGTCCTTCAGAAACTACAGGCGGCAATAAGTCAACGAGGACAGACCATCCTGGATTACTGTTCAACACTGGACCATCCCAACATCAACAGGGTGTCCGCGGGGTTTTAAAAAGTATTAAAAAGTGATAAATAAAAATAGTCAAATTTAAGGCCATTAAAAGTGTTAAATTTGGTCTCAGAGGTATTATTTTTTCCAAATTAGCTATTATTTTTTCAGACTATCAGATGTCGTATTCTGAACATCGACATAGAAATATATTCCGAATGAAATGTTTTGAACGATTATAAAAATAAAACAAGCCGATTATTTGCTCCTCCCACTTGCGCTGCCCTGAGTTGCAAATGAAGCGCTCCTCTGACAGTGTTGCCAACTTGGCGACTTTGACGCTATTTCTAGCAGCTTTTTAGACCCCCTTCTTGACTTTTTAAATCTTAAAAGTACCTAGCGAACACCTCAAACATCTCTGGTAACCCTTAGCTACTTTCTGGATAACTGTCGTCGACGTTTCCTGCAGGTTAGCTAAACACTCCGCCTGCGCTCCGGACCGTTCTTCAGGACATTAGGAAAGGGAATGATGTAGTGATGTGTCAGTCGCTAAAGAAACGGCTCTCAGAGCCGGCTCTATGTTGGAGTAACCAGAGTGAGTGACACACACACCGTACCTGCGGACTCCTGCGCCGATAAAAACGGCTAAATGTGCGCGTGCAGCATGCTAAACACATGTGCAGCTTGCCCCTGATTGCTGTGAGACCGGGTTGGGGGGTGGGGGGTGCAGCTGTGGTTGGGACATTTATTACATTAACTGATGGACTTGTAAATAAATAGTTTATAAATAAGGTAGAAATAAGTTCCTCACGCTGATAAATAATTAATCTCTCTGAGGACATGGTGCTTGAGCACTCTCCTACAGCACCTTGACATGACTAAATAAATGTTATGCAAAATTTAGTGAACATCAATTTGCATGTATTTGTTATAAATGCCACTGTATAATTCTTGCTGTCAGTATTTGCAAGATATTGGTATTTGGGTCTGTACTGGTTAGACTTAAATGAGTGAAACCAAGGTCCATAGCCCTTGGGTCATTTGCTATAAGTATATTGGTCTTTTTATACTGGGAATCAGGAGTTAATTTAGTGATCATCTTGTTTCTTGTTTATTTTTGCCCTGATTGTGCCCTGAGCAATTTTATGACTGAATAAAAACAAATAAAATCAACATAAATTGAAAAATTGTCCTAAATAATCGTGATCTCAATTTCAGTCACAATAATCGTGATTATTGTTTTCACCATAATCGAGCAGCCCTACTTTAGCATATCCGGTCACATAATGATGACGTCATATTCAGTGGTCGTTGTGCATCATTTCAGGCCTCGTGGTCATCTGTCTGAACCGCTGAACAGAAGTGTCTGGCTTATTTTCTAAGTAAAATAAATATGTGCAATATGTTGTCAACATCAGTGAGTCTCTAAGTCTATTCTTTTTGTATGTTATATATGTTAAAATATGTGTAAATAGGTCGCTGATTAACCCTTTTTAATTTAGTGTTGTGATGTTTTTAAAAAAATTCTGAAGGTAGTAAAAAAAAGTATTAAAAAGTAGTAAATTTTACCTAAGGATTGCTGTATATACCCTGATCAATGAAGTTATTGTCAACTACGCTCAAGACTCTGATAAGGCTGCCTCCATCCTGCTGGTCCTAATGTTGTACTTCAAAGAGCCAAAAGAATGTTTGGTGCTTGAAGTTGATGTAAGATTTTGTATTAAAAAATTTAAAATGCAAATTGAATGATTACATTATCAACTGTACGATTTATTAACTTTGACCAATGAGGAATATTTATACTCTATCCTAAATCTATGCTGCTGTGTGATTATGTTACAGCCATGTGCCACTGCCGTGGACATAAGTTCTGCAGAACTTCCCACCAGCCCCTGCTTGATCATTCAAGGTAATATTACTTTGATCCAATATTGACATTTCTGTCTTGATATAACTTGTTTCATTCTTGAAATCTAGATGAATTTTGTAGCTGAAGTAGAAAAAAATGCTCATATCAGTCTTTTCATTTCAGGTGACATGATGAAGCCCTCTGGATGGCTGATATCCATCGAGGGACAGGTCATGATGGGCCCACACCCGTTCTTTTTACATGGTGTAGCTGCATTGTTGAGCTGCTATTACGTCTTCAACATCGAGTATCCTGCCACTGGATCGTTAACACTGGAGTTCATTCAAAGGTATTTTATAAAGATCACATTTAAAGTGACAGTGTGTAGTATTTGTCATTAATTTCTGGAAATATACGTTGAAATGTTTTGCAAAATGAATCAAATGAAGCCCATTCATTGAAAAATACCAGCAACTTTGTGACAAATAACCATAAAAATCAGGTATAAAATACACACGCGAGGGTCCGACTCTCTGGAGGACGCCATGTTGGATTGTATGTTTATTTTGCTGTATTTATGGTTTTGCTGGAGGTTTTTGACTCCTTTGAAAACTGTGCAACAACACTCTTCTTCCTTTTCTTGTGTGTTATTTGGCGGGTGGCACTCAACATAAAAAGATGCATTTTTCACCAATTAATGTTTTGGAGGGTGAACCAGAGTCATTAATCTCATATCAACTGAAACTATCTTTGCTTTTTTAACAGGTGCTTCCTGGGAATCAACCCTGAGAGAGGGTCAAAGACCAAGAAGCGAACAGCAATCAACCCTCGTGTGAGCACTTTTTTTAGGAAGCTCATTGATTTTGAGTGGACATCATAGATTTTTGCAGCAGTACTCAGGCTCAGTTCTTCAGTGTTCGTTTTTTTTTTAGATAAGTTTACGTTAAATGTTTTCCTGTTCTATTGCCCATAATGTTAAAGACTAAGGAGCGCCTGACCCCATTCCCTTCTTCACTGTCTCCTTTCCTCTCGTGTTGTTGTGAGGGCCTCATTCCCTTTTCTCAGTGTTTTTCCTCATTTTAATTTTACAACTTGAAAGATTAATCTTGAATTCTTGGCTGTATAAAATATGTTGAATAAAATTTCTATAAATATGCCATTGGATTAACACTGACTTTACTTTGGCGACGGGGTTGTATTTGTGCAACGGTAGTACATTTAAAGCTAATGGAACCTCAGGATTACTTATTACTGGATTACTTATTACAGTACATTACTGGATTTTTTTTTTAATTTTCATACATTGTAAATTCACAGTAAATCATTGTGAATTTGTAAATAGTACATACTGTAAAAGTACAGGGCCTTGTTGTAATGAACAGCAAAAGATTGTAATTCCCCAGGAATGTACTGTAATAAAACAGTAAATGCTTTGTCATTAAAGCTGTAAAGTTGCAGTGTACAATTGTGATTTTACAGCAGTACATTATAATATCACAGCAACAAAATTACAGTAAATTGCTGTGAGTGCATGTAACAGTATTTTACTGTGAAAGCACGGCAAAAGTACGGCAAAATTTATCCAGTAAATTATTGTGAATTCACGGTGAAAATTTTAAGAGTGCACAAACACACATGCACACATACAACCAATGACTTACAAAAATGCATGCCGGACACCCACTCATGCTCCCCATACACACCCTATTCACTCTGGTCCCGGTACTGCTGCACATTGGGTACAACCATCACCGGTAACCAGAGTTTAACCCTTTCTGCTGGGGGTACTGATGAGCAGGCTCCCCCGCCCAATGCTGAGCACAGCAGCCCACCACCCCAGACCCCAACCAGACGGCCAGATCTCCCTCCTAGACTCCAGCCCCAGGAAGCCAAGCGACAACAGAGGTGGCTAAGACCCCTAGTCTCCCTCCGCCTGCTCCAATATAGTGTTGTGTGATCATGAGGTGTATTCCATGGCTGTGGTGAGCGGGCAGTGTGGGCATCATCCGGCCTATGCCAGCTGATGCCACCGCACCACCCCACTTACACCCTCAGCCCTCGGTGTCTAAGTGCGGTTTAAAATTGGAAGTGGGCACCGGCACCCGGGAGGAGGCTGAGATATCCCCCTGCCAAATGCCGTTGAATGTGCTCACTCCCAAGGCCCTAAGTGTGTGTTTGTGTGGAATGTCGTCAGTGGAAGTGTATAAGGTGGAAATAAAATTGGGGGGCAGGTTGCCACAGGAATGCGGAAATGGGGTCCATACCCCCACTCCCTGACTTGCCCACCCCTCAAGGTACTATGTGTATGTTTGTGTGATGATGTGAGGGAGCAGGAGGAGAGAAACATGCGGGGATGGGGAGGAATGGCTGTTTGGGCTTAGCCCTCCAGGGAGCCAGCTCCCCTACTGGCCCCAATAGGCACCTCTGTTGTCAAACTGGCACCCAGGGCATGGAGACCCCAGCCCATCCTGCCAGGGCCCAAAGCAGCAGCATTACAGAGCCTCACGGAGTTTGAGGGCACCAACCCAGCCCCACCCCAGCAGAATATCTATGCCCATCCCTGCATTTGCACAACTTGGGCTGGGCTGCTTGGGCTGGGCTGGGCTGCGCCATCATGCAGCCCACAACTTGGGCTGCATGGTGGCGCAGTGGTTAGCACTGTTGCCTCGCAGCACGAAGGTCGTAGGTTCAAAACTCGCCTTTCTGCGTGGAGTTGCGTGTTCTCCCCATGCATGCGTGGGTTTCCTCCGGGTACTCCGGTTTCTCCCACACATCACAACATGCCCTACAGGTTATAAAAAATAAAAAAATAAAAAAAACTTGTACGTCGCTTTGGATAAATCCGTCTGCGAAATGAATAAACATAAACAACTTCCAGAATATATAAGACATGGGACATCCAGGTAAGGTTGGGTCCTCCCCCTCCTGGACCTCCCCCTCCACTGTGATGGAACGGCAGAGGAGACAAGGTCTACCTGAGGCCCCCGAACCACCCAGACCCGCCCAGGGCCAATGCAGCTGCCAGGCAGTGACCCATGGCTGCCGCCAAGATCCCCAAGGGGCCCCACTCACAACCGACAGCAGTCCACCCCCCGAGGCAACCCCAGCACCTCCAGAGGGGGGCAATGGCCCCCAGTCCCAGACACCCCCAGTGAACCCACCTCCAGGGAACATCCGGATACTCCAAACTCAGACCCCACACCCCCCCACCCACACCATCCCGCAGGACAACATCAACGGCCCCCCACCCTCGCTATGTGATGGAACCGATCAAAGGAACCCAGAGAGATTGATCTGAGGTGGAAGCAGAGGCTATATCAAGTGCAATATGATCTAACAAAATATTTCTATACTGGTTAATGCAAAGAGTTTCTCTATTTTTCCAATTCAAGAGGATAGTTTTCTTAGTGATGTATATGGCAGTCAGAACCACGTGAACCACAGATGTTTCAATCGGGACATCGTCCAGGTTTCCCAGTAAACAAAGAGAGGGGGTGGTTGGGATATGACATTTCAGACACTTTGACAGGTCTTCACATACTCTACCCCAAAATTGCTGGACAGGTGGGCAGGACCACAGTGCATGAATGTAATTGTCAGGAACGTTGTTTGTGCAGTGTGTACAGGTGTCAGACGACACAAACCCTATCTTGAACATCCGATGACCTGTATAGTGTACTCTGTGTAGAATTTTGTACTGAATTAATTGTAAATTGGAGTGTCTGATCATTTTAAAAGTTTTTAAACAAGTTTGGGACCAGAAGTTCTGGTCAAAGCTGACTGATCGATCCACCTCCCATTTTTCAATAGGGATTACTATTCTATCATCTATTTTGGACAGTGTCTTATATACTTTAGACAGTAGTTTGGGGGGTTTAAGATTATAGAAGTCTAATACCCTTGGTGGTGTTTGTAATTCTATTTTATTGAGCTTAAATTTTTGTTTGACTAGAGATTTAATTTGGTGGTATTCTAAAAAGCTATTCTTATCTATTCCAAATTGGGAGACTATTCTATTACATGGGATGAAGTCCAATCCTTCATATATGTGTTCCAGGTATAGGATTCCTTTGTTTTTCCAGTCCGGAAGGTTCATCATTTTATTATTTTGCAAAATATCAGGATTATTCCAGATAGGTGTGCGTCTGCATGGTACTAGTGAAGACTCTGTCATTTTAAGATACTCCCACCATGCTGACAGAGAGGTGCTGATACTAATACTTTTGAAGCCTTCATGTTTCCTTATGCTTGAGCTAATAAATGGTAAGTCTGAAAGCTCTATCGTACTGCAAAGTGTCTGTTCTATATCTAACCAGGACTCATCTAGTGGGTTATCTTGCAACCATCTTGGTATATATTGCAGCCTGTTGGCTAAGAAATAATAATAAAAGTTGGGTAAATCCAGTCCTCCTCTGACTTTGGTCTTCTGAAGCGTTTTTAAGCTAATTCGTGGAGGTTTATCCTGCCAAAGGAATTTGGTAATTGAGGAGTCCAGAGATCTAAACCAGTCAGCTGGTGGTTTGTTTGGGATCATTGAAAATAAGTAATTTATTCTGGTTAAGACCATCATTTTAATTGTAGCAACTCTCCCCATGAGTGATATCGGTAAGGATTTCCATCTTGCAAGATCATCTTCCACTTTCCTTAAAAGTGGGATGTAGTTTAGTTTGGTAAGATCTGCTAACTTGGGAGAGACATTAATTCCCAGGTATGTGATAATCCCTGACTCCAATTGTGTATTAAGCAAATTGACAAAAGAGAAATTAATTGGTAGAACTGTGGATTTTAACCAGTTTATAGAGTAATCTGAAACTCTTGAAAAAGAGTTTATCAGTTCTATTGCTTGGGAGAGAGAGGATTGAGAATTCTGGAGAAAGAGTAAAACATCATCTGCATAAAGACTTATCTTATGTTCTATTTTCTTACACTTTATCCCTTCAATACATTTTGTTTGCCTAATTGCTGCCGCTAGTGGTTCGATAAAGATAGCGAACAGTGAGGGGGAGAGTGGGCATCCCTGCCTGGTCCCCCTCTGAAGACAGAAGCTAGCTGATATTTGGTCGTTCGTCCTGACATGTGCAGTTGGCGAACTGTATAATGTTTGTAGCCAGTTTATGAAGAAGTTCCCAAAACCAAATTTATGTAAAGTTGCAAATAAGAACTTCCAGTTAACTCTATCAAGAGCCTTTTATGCATCTAGAGATAATATACTAGTTTCTATATTTCTACTGTAAGAGAAATCTATCAAATTAAGTAATCTACGTGAATTTGTGGATGACTGTCTACCCTTAATGAAACCAGTTTGGTCAGGGTGTATTATGAAGGGGGTTACCTTCTCTAATCTTTTTGCCAGGACTTTACAAATTATTTTGAGATCAACATTAATAAGGGAAATTGGGCGATAGCTGGTAGGAAATGCAGTCTTTGCCTGGTTTTAACAAGAGACTAATATTGGCTGAGTTCATGTTTGGCTGTAATCTGCCACTCTGTTCGATTTCCCTCACCATTCTGAAAAATATTGGAGCCAGAATGATCCAGAATTCTTTGTAGAATTCTACTGGGAACCCGTCTGGACCTGGAGCTTTCCTATTCATCATGGATTTAAGGGCCTCCTGGAGCTCCACTGAGGTTAGTGGCAAGTCCAGGACTGTAACTTGGTTGTGTGATAATTTAGGAAGTGTTATCCTGTCAAGGAACTCATTGATCTCATTATCTGATGGGTTTATCTGTGGTGAGTATATGTACAGTCTATGATCTGTGGTGAGTACAAAGTTTGGTAAAATTCTCTGAAAGTGTTGTTTATTCTTTCAGGGTCATAAACTATATTCCCGGTTGAGTCTTTAACAGCAGATATGGTAGTTTTCTCTTTATTTATTTTTAACTGGCTAGCCAAAAATTTACCTGATTTATTACTATGTTCAAAGTTTTCTATTCATAGTCTTTGTGCTAAAAATTGTGTCTTTTTGTCAATAATTCCATGAAGTTCTAATTTAGCTTTACGTAATTTGCTCATTAACTCTTCTTCTGTGGATGCCTGTAAAGACTTAATGATTTCTTCTAACTCCCGAATATGTTTGTTTTCCGTTTTTTTCTTATGTGATGAGAAAGAGATTATTTTACCTCTCATCACTGCCTTTCCTGCCTCCCAGAGAATAGG